ACTCTCTTTACACTCAATATTTCACATGTAACCCTTCAGGATAACAGTAGTACTCTCTTTCACAGACCTTCTCCTCTTTGGGTTTGTTGCCCTTTACTCATCCTTGTTTTCTGTTTACATTTCTCATCTCTTATTTCTATATATGTACATTTCTTTCTCATAACCAGAATTGCCACAGTCTGTGCTCATTTGTATCTTAGAGTATATAAGTAGTCCCTCTTACACTTGTACCCCCCGATATAGGGAGATACATAACATAGGGAGAATATAGATAACAACATACATACAACAATCAATGCATACTTTGTCAGAAATAATTTAGTAATATTTTTCTTTCCCCCTCTTTTGCATATTTTGCCCCTTAGTGACTCCTTTCATACTTTGCACTCATTCTTCAGAAACCTTGCATATTTTGCACATTATCCTTTGGCCACCTCTGCATATTTTGCTCATACCCTTTGAACCTTAATCCTCACTCCACAATCCTCCTTCCTCATCACTCCTCATAAACTCTGTGGTATTATTACTAGACCTTGATAACACCTTCCTGTCCTAGAACTCACTAAGAATTACTAGAATACAAGCCACACCTTTCTTCTTTTACTTAGTGTAACCCTCTCTCCTCAGCATTAGTCCCAGAGGGCAGCCTCATCAGCACTCATAGCTTTAACTTACATTACTAGTAGTGTAGTTTGCTATTTCCCCTCTAAAGCTCTTTTCTGGTTGTTCAGCAGTTCCACAACGCTCGTAAAATGGCAGCAAACCAGATCCTTTCCGGTGCCCGTCTTTTATCTTTTGGCAAGTTTTATCTCAACATATCTAACCTTGTTGCACTACTCGGTGAGAGATCTCCACTTTATTCAAGAGATGTCCTCAACTGCGACAAGCAAGACAATGGCCGTGCATACCAAACAATGAACTGGGAAACTTTGGAGGCCTCACTTCAATCACCTCAGCACACTGGACTAGCGATCGACTTGTAGCTTTTTGGTGAGCTCACCGACACTTGGCTCTGTCCAACAATGATTCATCTTGATCAAATTTGATCAGCTTGGACATGTATATTTTTTATGTGATTTTGGCACCAATCAATCAACAGTACAACCATTGATCGTGATGGTATTTCCAGTCAAAGCTATGAAATATTCCACTTCTTGGGAAACTCACTGATTGGCTTGATCATAGCTCAACGCGAGTTTCACCCAACCGTTCCCTTCCTCCCTTGGAAGCATGGTACAGAGGCATGCGAGCACATCTTTGGCTGGATGCGGGTGATCATGCCTAACTTCATGGTACTCAATGCTCAACAAATGTTACCCAAGGTGTTTGCCATTGTACGGAACGTAATGAGTGGTAAAATGAAGGTTCCCCAATCAGAACACCTTCAATCGGGTATGTTTTTGCTTGATCAATTTTCCGGATTCCAAATCAAACCTGAATTGATTCCGTGTTTGCAGGATATAACATGTACAATTTCACCAACAAATTGGTTGCTGAAAGCTATGAAAAACTGGCTCAATTTACAACCAACATGGAAATAGCACACAAATTATTGGTTGCTGAATCACAGGCTTGGAAGATAGCTGCGTTTGCCGGGATAGATCCAGATTTTTGTTTGATGGAACCTTTACCTTTGCCAGCTGCAATTCCAAATGATGATGATGATGCCAACAAAGGCAAGTGCATGACTGGATTCACCTTTTTACATCTTAAACTTCATAACTCACTTCTTAAATTGCTACAGGTGTATCAATCAGTGGATCTACCAATTAGGGGGTATCAAATATAACCAAATCCACCACTATTTAATTGACTGGTTTGAAAAAATCCACCCTTTTTTAAACATGTTGGTTATCCATTAGGGGGTATCAAATATAACCAAATCCACCATTATTTAATTGACTGGTTTGAAAAAATCCACCCTTTTTTAAACATGTTGGTTCTTCATTTAACCCCTTTAGTTTTAGGGCCCATTGATGCAAAAAAAAATTTTGGGAAAAGTCACTGGTTTCTAAAGGTGGATTTCCTATATTTGATACCCCCTATTTAACCCCTTTTGGGGCCCATTCATGCAAAACAAATTTTTTGTAAAAGTGACTGGTTTCTGATGGTGGATTTCCTATATTTGATACCCCCTATTACAATGTTGCTTATGCCTGTGTTCCTGATGAAACTCCAATTTCCGATGTGATGCACAAGGCTGCAATTGTGATTGGAGAAAAACAGCAAGTTGACTATAGCTTAGGGGAGATTGACATCGACAACAAACATCAGCACCTTTCTGGACAAACTTGCATTTTGATTTCAAATCTTCTCAACCCAATCAGCGGTAAACCTGCTAGTTTATCAGACAATTATCTTTCTGAACGACATGAAAACAAGTTCTCAATTGTTGTCATGAGTTCCGATGGGTTCAATCAAGAGCTCTGCCACAGCTTGATGATTAAACTTCAAAAAGAAAACAATACAGAGAATCACAAAACTCACTCTGGAAACGAGATCAAAAAGAGGCAAAACTTTCTCCTGACCACCCCTGATCCATCCCAATCCAAATCGAATCTTCAACCCAGTGAGTGTAGCAAACTTGTTGCACTCATTGTCAAGGAAAATTCTTCACAGCAATCTTCAATTGCCAGAATGCACCAATGGAACATTCAAGTCCAGTTCAACTTCTCTGAAGTGCGTAACACTTCAACACATGTCAATGTGAACGCGCAAGCACATGTCCAAGGTGACACAATCTCCCCGAAAAACGAATTGACTTATGGTAAATATGCTGTGATCATTAAGGATAAGGTACGTGTACACATGAAATAATGTTGTAATATCTGCCGGGTTTTTGACATCATTCACATCTGGTTCAGAACATGTACATCGGAAAGATTCTTGCAGCTTATGAGCACTTTCAGGTAAACACCAATGAGTTGCTAGCTCTACTAGCCAAGCCAAGCTCTCTTACATTTCAGTCCAGCTCTTCTTATATCGATCTTGCATCCCATTGGCCGCCGGATTTTACGACTCATCTCCTGATTCTCAAATTTTTGCGCACCTTAAAATAGTGCATCTTCACCATCTCTTTCCGGTCAGCGAGGGTCTCAACATTACAGATGTGGGGGGTAACTTTGTCTCTATCCCCAAACGCTTACACCCACTTCTTCTTACGATGTCTCAAAATGTGTTCTTAGAACACTGGGAAAAAGAGCTCTTACGACTCAAAGCAATCAAATCAAAAAGTAAAAAAGAAGATCTCATGCTTGCAACTCAAAGCGATTAGATCTATAATCATGAGGACCTCATCTCTATGACTCAGCGCAATTGAAGTAGAAGCACAGTTGTAAATAATTTTAGTTCTGAAATGATACAAGAGTGATAACCATATAAATGTTTAACTTTTTTGCTTTATAATGGCACCAGAACCGTTTCAGAGTGCTGCAGGGGTCTAGTAGCCGGCAAAAGACCAGCATTGAGGCTTCAGGCAGAAAAAAAAGGGTACACACAAAATTTGTAGGAATTTTTCGGCTAAACCCCGAGCCTAGGCACAAAAAACGTAGGAATCGCTTTGGAAAATGTAGGAATTTTTGGAAAATCTTGGTTTTTTGGTTAGGCACCTCTATAGGGGGTTGCCTGGGTCCTGGGACACAGGTTGCGCTTTCCTCTTTATCTGAAACTATTAGCGCAGCTCAAGCCTACTTTGTGGGTGGGCTTGTTTATTGCTACTTGCTGACCCAAGGGCTTGCTTTTGCAGCCATGTGAAGGTCGTGGGGAGGGTTCCCCTCCTGGCTTTGTTGGAAACAGCTCCAAATTGGAATGGGAATACTCCTGAGCAGATAAACAGGTGGGGTTGGTGCCAGACCCACCCTACCTGTGTGGATCCTCCCCTCCTCTCTCTCTGTAGTGCGGGTGGGAGGTGTGAAAAAAGTAGAGAGAAAGTCCGGAAGAAAGGAAGCTACAGAAAAGAGGGTCATAACTCCTGGCAGGTGGGGGGAGGGAAGAGGGTATGAAACATTTCTGTAGCTCTACCCCTTCCCCTGTGTGCAACAGCCTGTATCACGGAGAATATTGGACATAGGCTAGCCGGCTAGCCCTGGTTTACCTCAATCATGAGATGCTACTCAACGTCCAGGGCTGGTACCAGGGCTCCAACCCCTGTACTTGGCTGTTGAGGTAGGAGGTTCTTCCACTACAGCATCCATGGAAGCCAGTGAACTCGGGGCTGTGCCCTGCCACACAGCTGGCCAGGAGCCACTCCTGACAGACCAGCTGGGTTTCAACCCGGCTTGTTGGAAAGAGCTCCTGGCAAGCTGGGATTAACCCCAGCTCATTGGCTGGAGCTCCTGGCAAGCTGGGGGTTAAACCCGACTTTTTGGAAGCTTCTGGAGAGCTGGGGTTAAACCCAGTTTGTCAGAAGAAGCTCCGTTGAAAGCTGGGTTTAATCCCAAGCCTTTGGAGGGGGCTCCTGCTAGAGCTATGTCTTAATATCCAGCTATTCTGAAGGAGCTCCTGACGGCTGAAGATCTGTTATTAATGTTAGACCCAGGTTGCCAGGAGCTTCATCTGACAGGCCGGGTTTTATCCCGACTCTCCAGCAGCTTTAGACAAGCTGGGTTTGAACCCAGCCTTGCCAGGAAGAGCTCCTGGTGAGCTGGGCATTAAAACCCAGCTTGTCGAGAGAAATCTGCTGGAAGAGCTGGGGATTTAAACCCAGCTGGGTGGGGA